TATCACTGTTGTCTGTGTTTTGATGCAATAGTGCCATCCTTGCGTATACAGACTTTCCAGGTGCGTTATATTTACGATTCTTTGCCTGGCCTGGCACCTTCTTACTTTTGCATTTATGTGAAGACCTGTACAGTCTTATGGATATGTTTTGAATGTTTAAAAGTCAGAGAAAAATATGAAAATGAGCATCAGACACATTAAGATAAATGAGAAGAAAAATGTTCAGATGAAGTCAAAATTTTGAGGAAAATTTAGTTTAAATAGAGAACTGGGGGAAATCCTTTCTATCTGCTGTTCAATGTGAAGCCATCACAGAAGCTGCTCACACACACCTCTAGTAAGTCATTGTGTTTTTTAAGCTGGATGAATCCTTTCCCAGCAGCGTTCCAGTGGTCCTTCTGAACATAAATCAATGATTCAATTCATATTTGTCCTGAAAACACATTTTTATTTCGCCCCTGCCTTCAGCCTAAATTTGGCCCCTTTAGTTTCCACAAAGACCAGATGACGATGCTTGAAAACAACATTTCACGCACCGATGGCTGAGATAGTGTTAACTGTTCATCTGGTAACACTGTTCATGGCTGTTACTACAGAATAATTGACAAAACAAATAAAAATGGCTGTGACTTAAACATTTCGGGACCCCATCTGATGCCTGACCGATACTTTTGATGCCAAACCGCAAACCTGCTTGCTGAGATAGAGGTAGTTTTATCAGCTCGCTAAAATAAAAGACTTAGGATCAAAAGAACTTGATGTAACTGAAATTTGCAGCAAAATTAATGAAAAAGACAAATCCTCCCTGAAAGTGTTCCTCTGCTGATCTGCAGGGATCACCACGGTGCTGACCATGACCACCATCAACACTCATCTGAGAGAAACGCTCCCTAAGATCCCCTATGTGAAGGCCATCGACATGTACCTGATGGGCTGCTTTGTGTTTGTCTTCCTGGCCCTTTTGGAGTACGCCTTCGTCAACTACATCTTCTTCGGCCAGGGGCCCCAGCGACAGAAGAAGGCAGCTGAGAAAGCAGCAACTGCCAACAACGAGAAGCTGAGACCCGACCCCAACAAGGTACGTGTGATTAGAAACATCTTCCAAGGCTTTGCGTGCTGTCTGTTGATATACATGTTTGTTTCTGTGAGGACAAATGACTTCTTCTCCTCTCAGGGACAAAGTGGTGCTGTAATCAATGCTTGATGTCCTTCACCAGCTCTCTTTCTCCTCCAGCAACATTTTTTAGTGATTTAGAGTTGTGCATCAATGACTTCAAACAGAGTGAATGCAGACACAATCGCTGAGATTTTTAAAATACTTTGTCTCCACATTTCTGTCTCCCAGAGGACAAGGTGCCTTGGAAAAATCCCCGTCTGTGGTGCCAGAACCTTCTCTTTAGATTTTATTCAGCACATTTACAAACAACAGCGTTTAAAGGAATAAATTAAACAAATGAAGCACTCTTTCCTTCTGAGTGTGGCAAGCTCCGATTTCCCCAAAGTAACAGTGCTGATTTTGTATGCTTGCAGTGGCTGGTGGGAAATGTAGTTCAAAGGGATGATGCTCTGTATGCCAGAATGAAACAGAGGGAAATTGACGCGTATGACTCGATGTGGGATCCCATCTTTGTGGACGATGCCGCATTAGGACTAGGCGATCAAAGAAATAAGGTACTGGAGGCTCTGATAGTTTACGCTAATACTGTCATCAACCTGAATCAGTCCAGATCAGAGGAAAATGCTGCAGTTTTTGTGCGTTTCTTTGACTTTTTGTAGATTTTTAAGGCAGCTTTGATCATCACTCCCACCATTGTGTTTTTTCCCTCTCTTGGTTTGCTCTTCATGCATTTTCCTGACAAACATGGCTTATTAGTTTCATTTCTGCAGGCACTGATTTAATCTAGCTCCACATCTGAATGGGAATGACAAACAGCTGCAGATTATATTAAGATAATTTCAATAAGATTTTAAAAATTGGTATAATCTCTGAAGCAACTGATCAATCTCTTGAAATTAAGTGATGCAACTGACAAAATGGTCTGAAAGAAATCATTTGCATTTTGAAGAATGACACCAACTGAGCGGCCTCTCACTAAAACAGCTACATAGGTGAAGGATGGGATTGGGGTTTTCCTCAGAAGTCAGGCTATGGATGAAGAAATGCTGATCCGAATTCACCTCCCACAACGCTTTTCCTGACCTGCCCCGAACCTTTTAGCCACTCCTCCATCTCTGCAAAGCCCTTGCTATTCCTCTCAACCTCCTCCTGTCACTTTTGTTTTATGTATCTTTGCTTTTCTTCTTTCTCCCTTGTTTTTGTTTAGTTTGTCCTGTGACCTTGCAGAATTTTAACCCACGTTTGGTTGAAATTCTGAGATGATAAAGAGGGTTTTCTTCATGGGAGTTAGTTCATGGAGTGTGCGGCTCCAGGCATGTTATTTGATAGTTTTCTGCATATATTATCAATCAGGTATTTGATTATTAAACGGTTTAATCGGTGCTTTGATCTCAAATGTTTCTCCACCTTAAGTAAAGCAGTCTTTAGCTCATTTGCATTACCCATTTTAGCTCCTCATCTGTATTTCGGCACCTCAAGCTGCTTAGTTATCATTTCAGCTTTTGTCGGTTTAGATCATTTTTGTAAGAACCAGTTTGAGGAGACGTCATTTTTGCAGCACCTTCTCACGGCTCCACCTGTGTTTGCACCTTCACACAGATGACCCCCGATGACAACATCCTGTTCAGCACCATGGAGATGAAGAACGAGATGGGCGGCGCCGGGGATCTGTCTCGGGGCCTGGGAGCGCCGGGGGATCCCCGCAACACCATGCTTGCCTACGACAGCTCCACGCTGCAGTACCGCCGGGCAGCCATGGCCCGACAAAACTATGGCCACAGCGCCCTGGAGCGCCATGCCCAGAAGAAGTCACGCCTACGAAGACGGGCCTCGCAGCTCAAGGTTAACATCCCAGACCTATCCGATGTGAACTCTATTGACAAGTGGTCCAGGATGATCTTCCCCACTGTCTTCTCCTTCTTCAACGTGGTCTACTGGCTCTACTACGTCCATTAAACCTGGTGGAGTCTGGAGGCCGGCATGGTGCCGGCATATGAAGAAGAAGAAGGAGGAGGATGGTTGGAGAGGAATTCAGGGGAGGATGTAGTAGATCAAATGTGAGGGCTGACTTTTAAAAACTGGTTCGATTCAGACACCTCGAGGAGAATACAAATACTTTTAGATGGACTGCAGCAGCACCCACATCAGTGACTCTTTCAGGATTTGGGAAACACCTTCAAACGGCCAACAGATGAGCACTCAAAAAATATATAAATAAATATATATATCATAAAAGAAGAGTGAGTTTTAAAAAGACAGAAACGGTGCCTGTTCCAGAGTTTCAATATATCACTAATATTTGTCATTCGTAGCTTAATCTCTGTGGATCAAATATTTATGCTTGTGTTTGCATATACTTTGAGGCTTTCTTTTGTTTAGTATCTATTTACTTCGTAGCCGAGCTGTCTGCATCCAGGAAAGCTTTATCAATCATTTCAGAGGAGTCATAACGGATAGTCTATTTTCCTATAATTACTGTATATCAGAAAACCTTTTTTAATTGCATGCTTATGTTTGATTTCATTTGCATCACGGTCAGGATGATGATAATGAATCACAAAGCATTTCACTTGAGTTAGTTGAGGCTGTTGTGTCAGGTGGGAGGTTGCAGCGTTCGCCAGACCGGTGTCTTGTCTGATTGTGGAGCTTTAATGATGCTTTTTAAAAAACTCATTTGCTGAAGGTTTAACCAGGATGTTTTAGCCGTGCCGACTGAATGGAGCCCATTTAATCTGCGTTGTATTTATTTATATTTTTGTTACATGTTACTACCTATTTTCTACCGTCATGCAAGAAACTTTAGAGACGGCTTTAACTCAACGCAAGCTGGTGCAAGAACTATTCTGATCAGTTTCATTGCAAATAAACGCAAAAAATACAAAAAACTGAGCTGCTGCATAAATATAAAAATCCACAATCATTATTATCAGTAGAAATGAATGATAGAAGTAAGATGCATTTCATTGTGATTAGGTTTCTGTTTGAAAAAAAAACTGTAGATAAACACAAATCATGTTTAAAGAAAAAGAGATGATTCATTTTTTTAAATCAATACTCACATTACCATGTAAATACTATGGATTTATTCTATTTAAATGGCTCTTTGTTGTTGTTTTTGAAGTTAAATTACAGCTCAAATGTTTCATTCAGTCAAATAAAAAGAAAATAAAAAACATTATTTAACTGAGAAGGAAAAAAACACACAACTCACAAGTTTGCTGACTGTACTTTTGGCACTTTTCTCTCTCTTACTTCCTCTTTTCCTTTTCTTTTTAATGGACTCTAAAAGCATCTACTTGCTGAAACTAAAGCACTTCCAGAAACCAGAGACTTCTGGGTCAACGTTTCGCTCTCCGGATGTGATACAACCAGGGCCCCACCATGCAGGCATTGAAGTCAGGCGTATTTTGTACAAAGTTTCTGTAAATTCCAGTTGTAATATTTCATAATGACTGTAAATAACTTGTGTAATATCTGTCATCAATTATGAAGATGTATCTAAATTCAAATAAAACTCTATTCAGTCTATCACTTCACCATCAGAGTTGGTGGGTGGCCATTTTCCTGTGTGAGTCTGAGGCTGACCGCTCAGCAACGAGCGAGCGGACGACCAAACTGGGATTAGAGCTCGGGCGAATGGAGGGATGGGCGGAGGCGAGAGAGTGCTGCAGCTTGGTGCTGTTGGCTGCATAAATGGATGGAGAGAGGCAAAGGAGGTGAAGCGAGAAGCTGCAGTGTTGAGCTGGGCTCAACCCCCAGCCTAGGGGGACGTTAACGCAGAGAGCCGGAGATGTGGAGGCACACTTTGGACTCCACTGTCGCCTTCTGGCTGCGGGGGGTGGGTGGGGGGGGGGGGGGGGCAAAGTGCCCGCTACAGGAAAAATAAAAGAGAGAAAGTGAAAGAAAAGAGAAAAAAGAGATACGTCCAAGGCTTGACCTCTAACTTCATCCACTCTTCTGCACTCTCCTCCTGACCTAAACACATAAAAGGATGAATGCTTGTGAATATCCGACGGTGTAAAAACCCCAATATTTAAATACTAAAATGGATTTTTTTCTAACTAATGTGCTGCTAATGGTTGATTTTGTACAATTATAAATGCACTAAATCTGAAATAAGCACAAACATGCTGCTGAGAAGGCCAGTGTGTGTGTGTGTGTGTGTGTGTGTGTGTGTGTGTGTGTGTGTGTGTGTGTGTGTGTGTGTGTGTGTGTGTGTGTGTGTGTGTGTGTGTGTGTGTGTGTGTGTGTGTGTGTGTGTGTGTGTGTGTGAGTGAGAGTGAGACACTCCTGGGACTAAAATGTCTAAGTGCAAAAGTAGCCATAAAGGCAAACTGATGTAAAAACTGATGTAACGTGACATGTTACCTTGTTCTACATACGCTGGTGAAAATCCACTCTGCTCTGCTACATAACAGATGAATTACCTCACAACAGCAGACAGATGGTTTGTGCTAAATTGGCCTTTTCTTTCCCTTTTCCTCTTTTCAGCGGGGGCATTAGTGTTGACGTGTGGAGGCGAGGGGAGGCAGATGCTTCCTGCTTTGTAGTGTTTCCATGTCACTGGCGTAATTAGCAATGCACAGACCCCTGCTCTGTGGAGACACGTGAATGTATGTGTGTGTGTTTAAGTTCCAGGAGTTTTATTTTTGCCAGTGTGTGTGTGTGTGTGTGTGTGTGTGTGTGTGTGTGTGTGTGTGTGTGTGTGTGTGTGTGTGTGTGTGTGTGTGTGTGTGTGTGTGTGTGTGTGTGTGTGTGTGTGTGTGTGTGGACTTCCAGCTGTGCCACTTTGAAGTTGGGCAGCCAGAAAAGTCAAACGGGTGAGAATCTGACTGAGTTGCATCACAACTCTCCTGTTACAGGTCTGTGGTGGACAAACACGTTAAACGAGCCGGGGAGGACTCGTGTCATGTGTGCACACACAAAACAGGAAACTATTTCAAGTTTTTAAATCATAATCAGTAAATCAGTGCATGGCATTCTTCAATACTGGGGCCTAAAATCCCGTCTGCATGTGTCGAATGCACATAAAGTTTCAAACTAAAATGATAGATTTGAATTTTCTTAGTAAAAATGTGTTCAAGCTTCTTTTAATTGGGCTGCTTGTTTTGGAAAAGCCAGCATATGTCAACACGAGGAAGTGGAAAGCATCCTACATGCTTGCCATCTGTGCAAGAAACTGTCCATCAGTTCTGCACACGTGCACATTAAACAAAAATAAATGAACATGCTCAAATCCACAGCCTTCGGCTGCTTTATGCACAAAAATCTATATTATTGCAGCAATTCTTAAGTCTTTTAACAAGAATCTCATCACTGATGATTTCAAGGCCTTAGCAAATTATAAATCAACTCTGTCAGTAATCATTTCAGAAAGAAGCACCACTTTTTACTACAGCCATAGTTTTTTCTTACAAGACTTGTCTTTTCTGTTATTTATTTATTTATTTGTTTTTTGTTTTAGTCTGAAGACCCCACTTAGAGTTGAAGAGTCAGTTTAAATCTCTTTATGATCCACTGAACCAGTTTCCTGATCTGGACCAGTCTGGGCTCCACCACAGGAGCATTATTTATTTCACCTGTAGCTAAACGGAAACAAAAAGGACTGAACTATCTCAGCTGAGTCACCTGAGCACATGTGATGATATTTAACTGTCTCATTTCCCCTAACAGGCAGGAATGCTAGCATACCTGTCAAAGGAAAGGGGCAGTCCTAGGAAAGGTGTGTTGTCATCTGTTTTAACTCAAGCCTCTTACAGAAACCCACAGCAGGAGGTGATGTCTCAGAGCAGACGGCCTTTTAGCTTGTGAGGATGAAATTGTGGTGAGAAGAGCCAGATCCAGCTGAGCCATGACGTGGAGGAGCCCTCTGGCCCTGGTGAGGGATGCTCTGCAAGGTCAGAGGGCACGGGAGAAGGAGCTCCGCAGCTTGGTGTCCAACCTGCCTTATGAGGGACAGGAGAAGGGGAAGCAGCCCAACCGCTTCTTCTCATCCAACTCCATCAAGACCACCAAATATTCTCCTCTGTTTTTTATTCCCATGAACCTTTATGAGCAGTTCCACCGCCTAGCAAACGTCTACTTTGTGGGATTGGCTATTTTGAACTTTATCCCCGTGGTGAATGCCTTCCAGCCAGAGGTAGCTCTGATCCCCATCTGTGTCATCTTGTCTCTGACGGCCCTGAAGGATGCCTGGGAGGACTTTAGAAGGTACCAGTCGGACAGGAAGGTCAACAACACGCCGTGTTTCGTCTACAGCAGGTATTTCATCCGTCCTGAACAGAGATGCCGCTCAGGAACGACGTAGCGGGTGGATCTGTGTGTAGTAGCTGTACATGTTTGTGTAGCCGACCTCCGCTGGGGGAGAAGAGATGTGGGAGATTATTCCTCCTTTAAGGAGCCTCACAACAGCATCTCTCTCCACCATACTGCACACTTGGATGAAATCCTCTTCTGGGTGTTGCATCAGCAGAGACGGGCAGGTTGGCTGTTTGCTATTTTTGAATTACTGGTGAAAAATGAATAATTCACCAAGAAGGGTAGACAGTATTTCAGGCTGTTTCAGTGGAGGCTTTGGTGGGGCGATGAGGAGGAGGAGGAGGGAGCCTTTCTGGAGAGGTTTGGATGGAGGCACCCTCCAAAATCAGAAGTCCTAACACCCAGAGGCTTATGAGACCTCTGATGTGAGGAAAAGCTGCATCATGTGTGTGTTTGTGCATCATCTCATGGTGCACCGGGTCCTTGAGACCTAAAGAGTGAACTCTCATGACCTGTTTCTCAGACACATTCAGGCTCGCATCAGGCATTCAGCTGTCAAACCAGAGTGAGCAGGTTCCTTCTGGTTCTGCTGGCTCCTGCTGTGTGTGGAGATGCTAACCTTCACTTTGGGCTTGTAAAAACCCAAAACCTCACGACTAAACCACTACACCTTCACCCTTTGCATCATTTGTCTAGATATGCTTCATCCATTCAACAGCAACAAACTAGATTTAAATCGTTTTGGGGAAATCTGATGATGAGTTTAACGTGAAAGAAGGCTCGTGTGGAAATTTTGGAGACTTAATTAATCAGATCTTTGCAGATGTTTCCCATCAGCCCTTGGGTTTCACAGAATCACAAAGTCTGTGTTGAAGCACGTCTTTTCTCTCTGGTTTTCGTCACATCAGCCGCGTTTAGACGCATCAACTGTTAATCAGGCTTTCTAAATATGTTAAGCTTCTTTTTGTTAAACATGTCTGAATACAGAAGACCTTTAAAAACCAGTCACCACACCTATGTTTTAACTTAATGCCTGTTGTCACACCTAGTATCAGTTAAATGCACATTATCATTTTGAACTTGTTAAATGGGATTTATCCCCACATTTTAAGCTATATTACTTTAAAGGAAAACACATTTAACACGTTAAATTAGAAATATAAATAACGATATAAAGTAGCTTCACGTGGCCCAGTGGTAATAAAAAACTTTTTATTGGCAGAATCACAAATTATTAGTTGAACTAAATAAAAAGTGACCTAAATCTAAATTCTTCTACATTTTTTGAAGGTGAAGAAATGCTGTTAGGATTGGTTTGGTCAAGAAGACTTTATGGTGTGTTTTATTTAGTGTAACAAGTTTATTTATGCCTTTATTGTTTGTGTCGCGATCTTATCAAATGCAAACAGATCAAAGAACATCAGTGTCCAAAAACGAAACCGAAGGTTTATCGGTTCATTCAACAAGTCATTTAAGATGAATTTGATCAAATCTGTTCAACTGAAAACTGACAACAGAAGTGCTGAAAACCCATAATTATTTAAAATCAAATACATGTTTAATCTAAGAATTAATCAAATTATGTGGAAAACTTAAAAACTTTTACATTTTCTATTTTAAAAATTACTTTTGTTGTGCATATTTACATAAAACTAGCTAGAATAAACCATAAAACAAAAAGCTGCATCATTATATTATAAACTATTTTTACTTGTACTTAAAAAATGTACTTTATTATTAGGCAAATATAAGTGCCAACTTATAGACATAACCTGAGTAAATATGTGTGTTTTAATAACAATATTGTGATGAAATCTTCAACTTAATTTGAGAAAACAGAATTTTTTTATCTGTATTTTTCTACAAAGTGAGAACAACTCCAAACTGATTTCCGACCATCTGACGCACAGACCTAGGCGTTTTTTTATTATAAACACGCACATAGAAGTGCCAGACTCTAAAAATACATACAGCTTTCCAGCTGGTTTTGTTTTCTGTGAGGTGTGGTGCTGAGCTGCAGCTACCTGATCAGGTCCTGCATGCAGAGCAGCATACCTTCAGCTTTCTGTCACAGCTAGTGGGTCGGCTTGATATGCTGGTTCTGATCATCTCTTTTGGAAAAGCTCCAGTTCTCACAGTTTACTTCTCAGAGTTATCTCAGCTGAATAATCAGATCTGGGCCACCTTCCACTAACAACTATAATTATTTATTCCCCCCTTTTGTGAATTGTGTACTTTGCTTCCTGACTTTACGTAGCTGCCATGTATGATCATTTTCATCAGCCATTAATGTCTGAAGCGTGTCTGGTCTTAGGATGGAGAAACAATTCGTGGAGAGGCGGTGGAAGAACGCACGAGTGGGAGATTTTGTGAAGGTGGTATGCAATGAGATCGTCCCTGCAGACCTCCTCCTACTCCACTCGCCAGACCCAAATGGCGTCTGCTACATAGAGACAGCCAACCTGGATGGAGAAACCAACTTGAAGCAGAGGACAGTTGCGAATGGTCTCTGCACATCGGTGAGGGACTGATGAAGATTAATTACCTTCATCTTCTTCTGTGTTAGCCCCTTACCCCTCTTCTCCTCTTTGTTTCAATTCAATTGAATTCAATTCAAAGATACTTTATTAATCCCAGAGGGAAATTAGAGTTTCAGTACACACAATTCCAAGATCAGACATACATAGGCAAAGACACATGACTAGAATTGGTGACTGTGGTCATTCGCAACCCTGAGTCGCGCTACCTTAATAGAGATCAGAGGGGGTTACATGAGGATTGGTTCAGGTGGAGGGAAAAAAAGGCACTTCAGAGTTACCCTCCACAGGGAGGGCAGCTTTGCTATGCAAAAAACACCTCAGACAGAAATGCAACAGACTTCAGACATCACACAAGAGTCCACGAGGTGGGGTGGTGGGGTTTGGGACTCTCCACACGTCAGTGAACGCAGCCGCGATAAGCAGCGCTCGTCACCTCAGTCTGGACAGGGGGAGGAGGTCATTGGGTTTAGAGGGCACAGCGACTCCTGGAATGATTCAGCGGCCTTCGCAGTCCCGCCCAGGCTGGGATAGGGAGACAGAGTTGCCATGGCGACTGCACCATTCCACATTTCTTCGGTGTGTGTGTGTGTGGGGGGGGGGTATTCGTAATTTCCAGTTTCCAGAAAAAATGTAGAAGCACTGCACACCCAAAGACAGACAAAGAGCCTTGGGGATAGGATAGGGAGGAGAGGAGGAAAAATGCGTCTGTACTCTCCAAGAGCCAGAAGAACAAAAAAAGGCATCACCTCAACTGAACAGGGCTGACCTGTCCTGTTCCCGTTTAAAACCAAGTCAGAGAGAGAGAGCACACCTGTTTGTCTGCATACTTTAACTCATAACTAATAATTGGACTACAGCTGATGTTATGGAGCGCAAAACTTGTCAAATCATTCAAGTGCAGGGCAGAGGTTGGAGTGTGAGATTTGGGGAAAATTCATCCAAGGAAGCTACAATTTAACAACTCAAAGGTCCAACCCCCTTCCCTCAGGATGCTCTTTACAGTCACAGAATGTGATGGTTAATCAACACAATGTTCAATAAACACTGTCAACATTTCATGCCACAATTCCTAAACAGTGCACCTACATAACCGTATAACAAACTAGTATGTTAGCTAATATAGTTTGATGTTGTTGTAGAGAAAATGAGGGAGTTTTTAGTTATGGTAAATGGTAAATGGCCTGTATTTGATATAGCGCCTTTTAGAGTCCTAGAACCCCCCAAGGCGCTTTACAACACTATCAGTCATTCACCCATTCACACACACATTCACACACTGGTGGGGATGAGCTACAATGTAGCCACAGCTGCCCTGGGGCTCACTGACAGAGGCGAGGCTGCCGAGCACTGGCGCCACCGGTCCCTCCGACCACCACCAGCAGGCAACGTGGGTTAAGTGTCTTGCCCAAGGACACAACGACAGCGACAGACTGAGCGGGACTCGAACCAGCAACCTTCCGATTACGGGGCGAGCACTTAACTCCTGTGCCACCGTCGCCCCACTCCTGTGCCACCGTCGCGTAGTTCTCTTGTAGCGCTTACACATTAGCTTCAGCACGGCCCCAAAAGCTATCGAACGGCACCAGAACTTGGTTTCGCACACAGGTCAGATTTGTGCTTTCGGTGCCGAGGCGACTCTATTTGTCAGATCTTCTCCCCAGCTGTCAGACTGGCACCGAGGCGACACTATGGACCGTTTGGCCGGCTGAAATTATGCCTACCGCCTCCAATCTGCAAGAAGAATGAGCCAGCGGGGGGTTTCCCACAAGCGCGATTCATCTTCATGCTCGATGTTGTTGAGCAAACTTCTGTCTGTAGCACAGAGCTGCCGATCCGGAGCTACCGTTAAGTGTGGGAACGGGAGAAATGAATAGCTCTGTTTGTGTGTGTGTGTGTGTGTGTGTGTGTGTGTGTGTGTGTGTGTGTGTGTGTGTGTGTGTGTGTGTGTGTGTGTGTGTGTGTGTGTGTGTGTGTGTGTGTGTGTGTGTGTGTGTGTGTGTGTGTGTGTGTGTGTGTGTGTGTGTGTGTGTGTGTGTGTGTGTGTGTGTGACACACAACACATTAATAAAACAATGTGGTTCAGAGTCTCCAAAAGCAACACAGCTCATGTCTGCCTTTTGTTTATCTTGTGGGGGGGGGGGGGGACTTTCCCACGCGTATTAAGCTCTGCCAAGTCCGTCGGATTTATATGTGAACACTACACCGCCCGTACCAGCCCAAACTCACACCAACCAACCTGACCAAACCTCGACCGTGCCGACGCTAATGTGTAAGCGCCATTGGTTTATTCTTAGCCTCAAAATCACAGCAACTCAGTGCCACCAACAGATTTGGAGCCCCCTTATACAAAACTTCATGAACCTGACCCAAACCTTCTAAGACTCAGCTCGTGACACACACACACACACACACACACACACACACACACACACACACACACACACACACACACACACACACGCATGCATTAGACTCAGCTCTACCAGGACAGGCTGCATTCACAGACAACAGGTCCGTCACCCAAACGTTCCCAACAAAACTAATTTCCAGAGTCTAAACACAACATGTAGAAAGACAAACAGAAAAGAACATCCCATCCATGACACTGTCAGCCCAGGTCTGGCTCTGCTTCCTGTTCATCTGCTCTGAGCTGAGAATGCACAATTTGTGTTTGTGAAGCCAAAAAAACCTAGAAATTCAACCCCACCTTTAAGTTAAATATAAAAAATGTTTCCTTTCATTCACACACTCATATAGTTTCTTTTTATTTCACCAGGATTGTGGATTTGAACCAGAGAACTTCAACTGCAAAGTGGTGTGTGAAAAGCCCAACAACAACCTGAATCATTTCAAGTGTTATCTGTGAGTATAAAGTACCCAGCTAACATGAATCCCCCCCGAGTTCCTCAGAGCCTTTTAAAACAGCCTTGCAAAATTAATTTCAGCCCACTCACTGGATTTTCCAATGCTAGCAGACACATTTTTGGGGCTGTAATAGACTGTAATCGATTTCCTCAGGCACCACAGCTCTCACAGGCGGTCTTATCCTGCCGTCCATCTATGGTCATGAAACAGGAGAATTGCTAATGGGGAATGCGTCAGAAATAATGAAAATCTAACAAGACCTGACAGTGAAAACCATTCTCATCCTTTCCTGCTGCAGAGAGAAACCTAATGAAGAGAAGGTGGGTGCTGGCATCGAGAGTCTGCTGCTGCGAGGCTGCACAGTGAGAAACACTAACCATGCTGTTGGATTTGTGGTGTATGCAGGTACTTTCTCAGCTGGATCAATAATTTAACTTTTAGCTTTTACGTTAAATGGGATAAATGGTTTCTATCAGCTATAACTTCAAATGTGTTAGTTACACACAAAAGAAAATGTCAGTGCTGACAGAAAACAGCCTGAAATGTCTCATTTCTTATTATTCTGTACATGTACAATTTATAAACATATGTGTTACACTTATAGGAAACATCCAGCAAAGATAACCAGAGTGAATACAAAATGTAGGCTTCAAATGATGATTTAATTTATTGAGACAACCTGGCCCACGTTAGCTCCCCTATTGTTGAGAAACTGTGATTTAAAACAGTTTCAGAAAACCTGCATTCAGTTTCACCAGCCACACCCAGACATGGTTACTTCCAGACCTAGAATCAATAGAACCTGCTCCAAGTAGACTAAAAGATCTCAAACAGCAACACATCGCGACCCATTCTAAAAATAGAAACACTTCCCGAACGATTATTGTCTTCAGAAAGTGTGTGTCCTGTTGTATTAGGAGTAAAACTACTACCATCAGTCACACATGGTGGTGGTAGTGTGATGGTCTGGGGCATTCATGATGGAAAACTTTCCAACGTGGCTGAAATGAAACAAATCTGTAAAGAGTGTGTGAGACAAAAAATGTTCCCACGAAGGGAGTTTAGTGGTCAGACTTTTACACATAAAGCCAGATTAGTTTGTATGTTTTATCTCTAAATAAACGGAACCATTATTAAAGAATTATACTTGGAATTTACTCTGGTTATCGGTTTCTGCTATTGAAATGTGTTTGTTGGTCTGAAACATTTAAAAATGACCAACAGAAGAAATCTGTAAGCGTGCAAGTAAAATATTTTTTTATATTTATTAATCGGCTCATTTACTTTCCCATTTAAACAGAAAGATTTCATGAGCTGAAACACTAAAGGTTTTGTGCTTTGCTGGTTTGAGGAATTTGTCTCTAACACTAACATACCAAAACCTTCAGGGTTTACCACGCGAGTATTTGCAAATTCACTCTTACCACTAGAGCAAGGTTGTTGACAAATACCACCAGTTTACTGGGATAATTGCTTCACAGACGGAAGACAAATGTCTATTTTTCAGATGTGTGAAACAATAGATCCAAAGCTAAAGAAGCTGGTAGGACAAAGCCAGAATCATTCATGATTTTTTTCATATGTTGTCCATAACCAGCTCGTGTTTGAAGATGTTATCAGATTTTCTTCATCGACAGAAGTTTCTGAACTAACCGTCTTCTCTTTAAACCTTTAAGGCCATGAAACCAAGTCCATGCTCAACAACAACGGGTCGAGATACAAGCGCAGCAAACTGGAGCGGAAGCTAAACATAGACGTCTTCTTCTGCGTCATTCTCCTTTTCACCATGTGCCTCATTGGAGCACTAGGTCAGTCGTGAGTTACATAACTTAACCAGCGAGTCACAGATTGACTCAGTCCCATTTATGGTGGGAGCCATTAAATTTTCACTTTTAAAAAGACTCACTCAAGCCACAGGCCTGAACACATGCTACACCAGGAGGAAACCAGGGGAGATGTGGTGGCAAAAATAGCTTCCCTGTCTGCCTGACAGTCAGAGTGAATAATCCTGCTGTCTTCATACATCTAGGTCACTTCCTGTGGCTGGAGTCGCTGCCTGGTGTGCCCCCGTACCTGGTTCCTGACAGCAGCGGGCACCTGGACAGTCCTGGTCTGACTAGCTTCTATATGTTCTTCACCATGATCATCCTGCTACAGGTGACAGTAGCACATTTGTTTAAAGAGGCTTCTTCAGAATTTTAACATCAATAAATTGTCTTTCTTTCATCTTCAGATTCTGATTCCCATTGCTCTCTACGTGTCGATTGAACTGGTGAAGATTGGTCAGATCTTCTTTATCACTAATGACTTGGATCTGTATGATGAGGAGACAGACAGCCGTATGCAGTGCAGAGCTCTGAACATCACAGAGGACCTCGGACAGATCGAGTACATCTTCTCAGACAAGACGGGAACACTCACCGAGAACAAGATGGTGTTCCGCCGATGCTCCATCATGGGCACCGAGTTTCCACACAAAGAAAACGGTAAATAACACACACATACACACACGCACGCACACACACACACGCACACACACACACACACACACACACACACACACACACACACACACACGCACGCACGCACGCACACACACACACACACACACACACACACACGCACACACACACACACACACACACACACACACCAAGCTTTTAAACCATTTATGAGACTGAGGTATGGAGACATCAAGGATTTCAATGAAAAATGTTTTAAATCCAAACTAACAAGAGATAAAAAGTCTGACTGCCGTAGAAAACACACCAGAGCAGACTCAAATTAGACACCAAGATTTCAAAAGCAACAATATTTTCTTAATCAAAACCACAAAAAGAAATTGAAATGAAATGTTTTCAAGTGTTTTTATAACTTCTTGGTTGTTGAAACCAAACATTTTTTATAAAATGTGCAGCACTTTAGTCGATAAAAACACATTTGATTTGATGCATTTTGATGTGTCATATTTTATTACTGTAATGTGTTTCCATAGTTTGTCCCTTCTAGTCTACAAAAGGGTTTTCATCTCCTAATTCATTCATTCATTCATGCATGTATTCATTTAATCATTCATAAATTCTGGTTTGTGATTTCTTGTTCAGGGACTTTTAAAACCAGTAGAATATATAGTTGTTTGAGTGTGTTTTTGGAGTCTTGCTGTGATTTGACTACTTGTGTTTTGGAACTGACCTACAAAATTAGCCAAATGACACAACTTGATTTTGTTCTGACTCATCAGCCTCTTCTCCCTCTGGTTGATTACAGGTGCTGGCCAGTAAATTAGAATATCATCAAAAGGTTGAAAATATTTCAGTAATTCCATTCAAAACGTGAAACTTGTACATTATATTCATGCAATGCACACAGACCAATGTATTTCCAATGTTCATTACATTTAAATTTGATATTCATAAGTGACAACTAATGAAAACTCCAAATTTGGTATCTCAAAAAATTAGAATATTCTGAAAAGGCTGAATATAGAAGACACCTGCTGCCACTCTAATCAGCTGATTTACTCAAAACACCTGCAAAGGCCTTTAAAAGGTCCCTCAGTCTTGTTTTGAAGGCACCACAATCATGGGGAAGACTTCTGACTTAACAGCTGTCCAAAAGACAATCATTGACACCTTGCACAAGGAGGGCAAGACACAAAAGGTGATTGCTAAAGAAGCTGGCTGTTCGCAGAGCTCTGTGTCCAAGCACATTAACAGACAGGCGAAGGGACGGAAAAAATGTGGTAGAAAAAAGTGTACAAGCTCTAGGGATAACCGCACCCTGCAGAGAATTGTGACGACAAACCCATTCAAAAATGTGGGGGAGATCCAGAAAGAGTGGACTGCAGCTGGAGTCAGCGCTTCAAGAACCACCATGAGGAGACTCATGAAAGACATGGGATTCAGGTGTCGCATTCCGTGTGTCAAGCCACTCTTGAACAAGAAACAGCGCAAGAAGCGTCTCGCCTGGGCCAAGGACAAAAAGGACTGGACTGATGCTGAGTGGTCCAAAGTTATGTCTTCTGATGAAAGCAAGTTCTGCATTTCCTTTGGAAATCAAGGACCCAGAGTCTGGAGGAAGAGCGGAGAAGCACAGAATCCACGTTGCATGAGGTCCAGTGTAAAGTTTCCACCGTCAGTGATGGTGTGGGGTGCCATGTCATCTGCCGGTGTTGGCCCACTCTGTTTCCTGAGGTCCAGGGTCAATGCAGCCGTCTACCAGGAAGTTTTAGAGCACTTCATGCTTCCTGCTGCTGACCAACTTTATGGGGATGCAGACTTCACCTTTCAACAGGACTTGGCACCTGCACACAGTGCCAAAACCACCAGCACCTGGTTCAAGGACCATGGTATCCCTGTCCTTGATTGGCCAGCAAACTCGCCTGACCTTAACCCCATAGAAAATCTATGGGGTATTGTGAAGCGGAGGATGCAATACGCTAGACCCAACAATGCAGAGGAGCTGAAGACGACTATCAGAGCAACCTGGGCTCTCATAACACCTGAGCAGTGCCACAGACTGATCGAGTCCATGCCACGCCGCATTACTGCAGTTATTGAGGCAAAAGGAGCCCCGACTAAGTATTGAGTGCTATACATGCACATTCTTTTCATGTTCATTCTTTTCAGTTGGCCAACATTAGAGAAACAAACATTTTTTCATTGGCCTTTAGAATATTCTAATTTTCTGAGATACCAGATTTGATGTTTTCATTGGTTGTCACCTATAAATATCAAATTTAAATGTAATGAACATTGGAAATACATTGGTCTGTGTGCATTGCATGAATATAATGTACAAGTTTCACGTTTTGAATGGAATTACTGAAATATTTTCAACCTTTTGATGATATTCTAATTTACTGGCCAGCACCTGTATTATTTCAGAGTCACTTTTACAGCTGATTAATGTAAAGTAGTGACTCTGTTTTGCTCACCTGTGATTGCAAGTGTGTTATTCTTCTAAATTAAGATGCATTTTCATGAAACAGTCATTAAACTTGTAAAGAGAAGAGTTGGAGGTGGGAGTGGGAAGTGTCTGAGTTGAGGAGGACAGTCGGGAACAGTCACATGTTGTTTTGGGTTTGCAGCCATCCGCCTGGCCATTCTTGCTGAGCCTGAATCTGAAGAGGAGATCATCTTCAACCACCATTCACAAACCCCACAAACCAGCTGGTACTTAGGCGCTGAGGACAGCAGCCCCATAGACTCACATCGTCATGACAACTGGAGGAAAAACAAAATTTTGGAAAATGCCCGGAGTGATGTGGCCTTCAGCAGTCCACTGGTATGAACCCTTCAGACATGGTTTCAGTGTAAATGAATCAGAAATTACTTGCATCGCGTTGTTTTTTCCTCCAAAGTCATCTCAGACCTTTCTGGACAACATTTCCCCATCAAACTATTTAGAACTTTATTTTAAGACTAAAGATTAAAAACAGATTTAAACTCCCATTAGTTTAAAAATAAGTCTTTTCTGAGACTGATTTAAACTCTGAACTAAGCAAAGCTCGAATGGTCTCTTTGTTTATCCAAATCTGACTCATCCCTGAGTCAAAGGCCTTGTGGTCCAGATCCCGGCTGCAGATGGTCGAGCCGTTAGGAGTCAGCGATGGCTCAGCATCACCCCTGTGTCTCTGACGGGACATATGGTCACACCACTTGAGTACCACTTGGCACAGATCACCAATGGTACATCAACTGTAAATGTGCACTATAGATTAGTCATATCTGTTGTGATATAGAGTACAGTATCTCTGTGCCTATTTTAGTCCACAGGGCAAAGACCAGGAGCCTGGAGACACTTAGACTCAGACAGAAACACACAGCAGAGAGCCCGTTTTTACGCCCTCACATGCTGCGTCTCAAGATGGAACCTTCTGTCCTTCTTTTAACCCTCGTATATTAATAGACAAACAGAATGTACAAAGCCAGAAACTTTCTCTGATTCCCTCAAGTCAGATTAGGTAAAACTTATTGTAAGCGAAACGAGTTTTATCAACACACACACGCACGCACGCATTTAATTAACAAAGCCATTAACTTTTGCTCCAACAGGAAACGGAGGTGATTCCAGACGGGAAGCTGGTTCAGCAGATTAAAAGAGCAGAGAGCAGCAGCCGCAGAGGCGGTGGCCGAAAGATACATCCATACCTGGACTTCTTTCTGGCTCTCACCATTTGCAACACAGTGATGGTTTCTATGGCAACAGCAAAGAGAGAGAGGGTGAGTGAGTGATTGGGAAGACGAAATGAAAATTGAGTCAAAGATTTTTCATCTTTCAACTTGAATTATCCTGAAATGTGCTACAGCAGCACTTTCTGTGGTTGCTGTTAGGGATATTTACATGTTGACTCTTTTATGTTGATGAGATCATAAACATATTTAGCAAGTGTGTTTGTGTAGCATGAAAAGAAAGGTTTCATATGGCTGACGGAGCAAACGTGCCTGTCACTTCTTCATGTTTGAGTTTTTGGGATATTTTACACCTGAAATAATGGGAGAGGACTTTTTTGACTGTTTAGTTTTAGCTAACTGTAAGAGACAGGGTGTTGATACTTAACTGTGATGTCATTCAGACGTTTGGTTTGTTATGAAATTCAGCAAACATTTCTGGGATTCATGGGATTTTGTTGGCTTTGCTTACATTTTCCCAGGCACACGTGTCTCCCCGCTCCTCCCAGACTAATAACCCTCTAGAAACCTTTTCCAATCTGATCAAAAAGGCCAGTCTCTTCTGCCAACGCAAACCCAAGAGGAACCGTACCCGATCAGAAGACCCGGCTGTAGGCTCTGCGAAGATGGAAAGTGCTGCAGACACAAACGGAGTCCAGACGTGTTCCCTCCATCCTCTGTCTCAGAGGGACAGGCCTGCGGCCGCCTCCCAGAGTCTGCACTATGAAGCACAGAGTCCAGATGAAGCTGCTCTGGTGCACGCAGCCAGGGCATACGGCTTCATCCTGCTGGCCCGCACCCCCGACACTGTGAGTGTGAGGCTCCCGTCCGGGCAGGTCCTAGATTTTGAGGTGCTGGACACCTTGACCTTTGACTGTACCAGGAAGAGAATGTCTGTTCTGGTGCGACATCCAGTCACCAGAGAGTGTGTGCTGTACACTAAAGGTGCAGACTACGCCATCATGGAGCTGCTGGGAACACCTTATGCAGGTAACGGCTGGTGGAAGTACATCTAGAACCATTTCATGAGTATTTAATGAATTAGTGGGGATAGAACAAAGAACTTTAGGTTAGACTTTTCAGTTGTCTTTTAATACTTTTTCAGATATTCTAAAGTCTTTATGTGAATTTTGGAGGATTCTTATGGGGCAGCAGTAGCTCAACAGGTTGAGCGGGTTGTCCAGTAATCGGAAGGTTGCAGGTTCGATCCCGGCTCCGGACAGAGAATTCTGCTGTTGTGTCCTTGGGCAAGACACTTAACCCACCTTGCCTGCTGGTGGTGGGCAGAGGGACCGGCGGCGCCTCGCCTCCGTTAGCGCGCCCCAGGGCAGCTGTGGCTACATCGTAGCTCATCACCATCAGTGTGTGAATGTGTGTGTGTGAATGGATGAATGATACAGTGTAGTGTAAAGCGCTTTGGAGTCCTTACTCTGAGAGGTGCTATACAAGTGCGGGTCATTTATCATTCTTTACTCATTTTCTGTCCAGTTTATGCCCCTGACCCCAAAAGTCTAAAAAAATCAGAAAGTAAATGAGCTGGGGATAAAAAAAAATGATGTGTCAGATCTAAATATAGCCTATCTACAACAGCTCAAAGTCATCTGACAGAAGCAGCTTCTGGTCCTCTGATGAATAAGCAGAATAACATTTTTGGGTGTTAAAATGCTGTTTTATGTGTCAAAGTGATTTATCTCTGGTATTGTTCAACGAATCAACAAACAAAACAAAAATAAATAGTTAAAAGGTGACTTTGTGACAGGCAATTTCCAAAACACTCAAATATTGAAGGTCTTTGCTGACTGGCTCAGCCCTTGAGTTTTGCAGTTAATGAACATAAAACCACTCAAAACTATTCCTGTAAAAAGGGGTCTGGTACTGAAGTGAAAAGGTGAAAACGCTGCAAACATCCCAAACTAAAAGCTTAACAAAAAGTGACTCATAATGGATGATGTGTATTACTTTATATCCAGAACACTTGAGTGGAAATCAGAAAGACGTAGCAGCTGTTACTCAGCATCACCTCGACTGCTATGCCAAGGAGGGCCTCCGTACTCTGTGCGTTGCAAAGAAGGTACAAATTACACACCTGCATCATTTTTCTACGGGAAAAGACGTTTGTTTCATTTGTTATTCTTCGTGTGTGCCAGGTTGTGAGCGAAGACGTGTACAGAAGCTGGTTAGTGGACAGGAAGAGAGCTCAGGCTTCTATGGACAACAGAGAGCAGCTCATCATGGAAACATCTGTGCAGCTGGAGACTGACCTCACCCTGCTGGGTACCATGCATCAACCCAATCACTCACAGCACTTAAAAAGCAGAAAATAAGGCCTGTGTGTGAACAATGTGGGATGCTTGTCCTCCTGCAGGGGCAACGGGCATCGAGGACCGTCTGCAGGAGAGCGTCCCAGAAACCACGGTGGCTCTGCGAGAGGCAGGGATCCATGTGTGGGTGCTGACAGGTGACAAGCCAGAGACGGCTGTCAACATCGGCTATGCCTGCAGGCTTCTGGAGGAGGAGGACCTGGTGATTAACATGAGCTGCAAAAACAAGGTGAGGAGGCAGCTGCCTGGTTGACTTCAGACATGTTTTTTGTGGCTCTGACAATTTTTTAAAGACATTTGTAACGGAATCAAAGTGATGTAACTATCTAAAGTTGTATTTTAATACACTGTTAGTAGTTCACTTTTATAAACAGAAGAATAGGCTGTTTTTATCATCAGGGAGTTTAATTAAACACTCTGTATTGACTTTGAGACAAGAAAAGAGAGAGAGATGGGATCGTTTGAGAATCTTTAATTTCTGAATTATAAATTCTAAACAATCTACCAGGACTACTCTGTGATGGATGAAAATGGATTCGGATGTTGTGTTGGTGCGTGTGTGTGTGTGTGTGTTTGGTTCAGATTCTCTAGGCTGACGTCAAAGAATCTGGTCGTCTTTGTTATGACTAGATATCACGAGGCTTATAAAGTGATGACATGAGCCGCTATTTTGCCGTGTACGTACCCAGTGGGGGTCTCCCAGGTAGATCAGGAAATGCCAGGTCTGGAGACCTCGGATGTACGCTGGAGCTGTCGGTGCAGCGGTCACAACGTTTCAAAGCCCGTCTGGAGGGTCGACCCCGGTACCGTTCGTCGGCGTCAGCAGGTGCTCTTATTTTGAAAGGACGTCGTCTGGTTGTTAAACGACGAAAATCTCCCGCTTCAAAGTTCTTAGTTTAAAGAAGAAAACACATCTGGCCAGGCTGCGCTTTTCTTTAGGATGACGGTGAATAGAACTGAAGTCAAAATGGAACTCAGCTTAAAATGGCGTTGCCTTGTTTTATATCTCTGAATTGTTGATAAGTTGGAGTAAAGTGGATTGGACACTTGAAGTCAACACCAGATTCTCCTGCGGCAGCCGAAAGCTCTGATTGGTTGGAACAATGTGTCATGCGTTTCTATGGAGATGAGGATCAGTATGTCTGTGCCGTAGTCCTGTTTTCATTAAACATAATTCATGACATATTTATTTCACAGATCATTCACTTGATTATTGTTGATCAACATCTGTTTTGCTTAATAATTTTAATCACAAATAAAGTACTTGGATTAAGTAAAGTTTCTTCTTCTCCTTCGGACTCTTCTCCTGGAATGTAAACAGTCTGAGGAACACCCGACCTTGGTTTTTCTACACGGTGTTATTGTGCACAGGGGTCAGCTGTATAGAGTTGAAAACAATGAACTTCATAACCTTACACATTGTTAAAGACATTTCACCTCATCTAAAGCAACGTGTTTAGGAGAGTTTGATGGTCTGCATCCTGAGCAAACTGATGGCAGGTTTGATCTGCCAGTCTATTCTATTAGTTATAACCAGTGATGCCCCCAAGGGGTGGCTGGGGATTGGGGGGGGGGCACCCTGCTGCCCCCACGTTCTCACACACCATACATTTGTCTCAATCAAGGCATAAATGTTAAAATGTTTGAATAAATCATTATTTAAATACATGTGTACAGTGAGTAAAGAAAGTATTCCCTGTCAATGGTTCACTCTTTGTTATATTGCAGCCATTTGCTAAAATCAGTTAGTCATTGTTTTCCCTCATTAATGTACACAAAGCACCCCATATTGACAAAAACACAGAGTTTTAGAAATTTCTGCAGATTTATCAAAAAGAAAAACTGAAACATCACACGGTCCTAAGTATTCAGACATTTTGCTCAGTATTTAGTAGAAGCACCCCTTTGAGCTAACACAGCTATGAGTCTTCTTGGTAAAGAACAACAGGTTTCTTACACCTGGATTTGGGGATCCTCTTCCATTCCTCCTAGCAGATCTTCTCCAGTTCTGTCAGGTTGGATGGTGGATGTTGGTGGACAGCCATTTTTAGGTCCCTTCAGGGATGTTCAATTCAAGGCTCTGGCTGGGCCACTCAAGAACAGTCACAGAGTTGCTGTGAAGCCTCTGTTATTTTAGCTGTGCGCTTAGGGTCGTTGTCATGTTGGAAGGTAAACCTTCAGCCCAGTCTGAAGTCCTGAGCACTCTGGAGAAGGATCTTGTCCAGGATATCCCTGTACTGGGCCACATTCATTGTTCCCTCGACTGCAACCAGTCGTCCTGTCCCTGCAGCTGAAAAACACCCCCACAGCATGATGATGCCACCACCATGCTCCACTGTGAGGACTGCATTGGACAAGTGATGTGCAGTGCCTGGTTTTCGCCACACATACCGCTTAGAGTGAAGGCCAAAAGTTCTATCTTGGTCTCGTCAGACCGGAGAATCTTATTTCTCACCATCTCGGGCTCCTTCAGGTGTCTTTTAGCAACCTCCATGCGGGCTTTCAAGTGTCTTGCACTGAGGCTTCTGATGGGCCCTGGGTGGTAGAGGGCTGCAGAGATGGTTGACTTTGTCAAAAATTCCAGAAGAGGTGGATGCTTCAACAATCACCTGATAGGTTTTTTTTTTACTTCCAGTTATTTAGCAGCACTTTGGTTCAACTTTTAGGTTTTTAAATTTGTTTTTAAATAAATTGACACTAAAAATGAAGAAACATTCCCTACAAATCATTACCTTACCTCTGTTTGGTTCCCATGAATGTAACTTTTTAAAACAGCATCAGTGACTTCTTAAGTTCAGCATAAGTTCTGAGTGTTTTTCCACTCTGAAAGTTTGACCTGTTAATTAGATCTTTTTTCTAAATTGCTGAACCTGTTCTGACTGCCTGTACATTTAAAATAAAGGTCAAACTTTTACATTTTTATCTGAGAAACAGAAGCTGCCCGACCCGGGGTCCACCTCACTGGGGTCATTAAAGATCTCGTGGCACAGGAACAAATCTTTCGTAATAAATCGAGCATGTCTTCCCACCCTGGCCTCAAACAGATAGAAACTACTCACCTGAAGCAGAGGAGCTGCAGCTGCTGCCCTCTGAGTCACCTGTGAGACTGATGGTGAATGATGTCAGAAACCCCCAGAACAATAACTAATGCCTTCATATCTAATTACAAGTCAAATATCCAACCCTCACAGGAAATGCACATTAATGAACTTCTTTGTTTATTTGTACTCGATGACCAACCTGAGAGATGTTATCTGGCTGACCTGATGATATTTAACCATCCATCCATCCATCCATCCATCCACTTTCTATACCCGGGGGGGGGGGGGGGGGGGGGGGGGGGGGGGCATGTCCAGCATTCATCGGACAAAACAGGCAGGGGTACATCACTGGACAGTTTGCCAGTCCATCGCAGCGCAACACAGACACGCAGGGCCATAGGCGAAAATCCTGGGGGGGACAGGGGGGGCATGTTCCCCCGTCATAAAGTTGTCCCCCCCAAAAAATGTAGCATATATACATATTTAACAGTGATATAGTATTATCTAGAGCTGAAACGATTCCTCGAGTACCTCGAATAATTCGAGTACAAAAAATCCTCGAGTCAAATTCTCTGCCTCGAGGATTCGTTTAATTCATATTTAATTAATTCAGGGCTTTGCAATCGCCCGGGGTCATGTTTCACCCGGACCGAAATAAGTGACGCACATGCCCACTGGACTGAATGCACACGCGAGTGGCGAATATAACTTAACTTTCTCTTAAGCCATGGCGGACAACTTGAACCCCGGTGGAGTGCGAAAAAGACAGAAAATGTCAAAGTTGTGGAACCATTTTTCACGTCGTAAGGTGGAAAACGTAGTCCAGTATAAATACTGTAAAAATGGATTTAGCCTAGCACAACACCACATCCTCCGTGCTGCAGCACCTGTAAATGTCACTTCTGCAAGCGGACTCGGAGCCTCTACAAGATAATGCATTTTAGCCTGTTTTTCTATATATTCTGCGGACTCTGCGACTTTTTCGTTTGTAGCGCTCAGTTTCAGCTCACACCGTACATCTGGTAGCAACACGTCGGACTTAAAATGTGCTAAAAATAGCAGTTTTTACACAATATGTCGGACTTTTTATTGTGTTATTGATGTCTGTTGTCCCTCGGGGTTTCTGCATGAGGACACGGGTATTTATGAGTGGCGGAGGAAAACGAAAGAAAGTAAATACATGTTTTGTGATCAGTATAATTTGACAAAACCACAGCAAACATGCTTTTGGCAATCCTTGTTAGTGTGAGAAAAAAAGTGTGGAAATTAAAACGGACGTGTGTTAATAGGGAAACAGCCGGCGAGCTGTTTGCGCCGTGAGCGGTTCTGGTTCTGTTTGGGCCGCAGCCGCTCGCAGCGTTATCCTCCTAGTTTTTGTCTGGCTTGCAGGCTAGCAGATTCTCGCACGAGGGGAAAATCGGCTCAGGTTTACTTATTTTTTGCACAGGCATTTGTTTACTGTGAAGTAAAGTTGAAGTGCTGAAGTTATGCAAACTAATTTTGAATAAAACTTGAATAACTGGCAATTGCTTGCTCATTTTAAGAGGTCTTTCATAATTATAACATGCTATTTGATATAAAATCAAATCACTTTTATTGTCACGTCACATGTGCAGGTACACTGGTACAGTACATGCGAGTGAAATTCTTGTGTGCGAGCTTCACAGCAACAGAGTTGTGCAAAAATACAGTAATGTAAAAACAAGTAAAATATAAAAATGGCTAATCTAAGTATACAAATGAATAAAGTAAACAATAAGATAAGAGATATAAAATGTACAGAGGTTGGTATGTGCAAAACAGTGGCATTAATGTACAGTATGGAGCGTGCAATGTTGGAACTTGGTGGAGCTCGCGACGAGGCAGCCATACTCGGCGCCATCTTGGCTCATCAATATATGATATAAAGGTTTACAAACACAAAAGGGTAATTTATTAGAGTACTCGATTAATCGAAAAAAAGATTCGATAGAGTACTCGATTACAAAAATATTCGATAGCTGCAGCCCTAGTATTATCCAGTGAGAACAGAGCACAACAAAAATAATATTAACCTGCAAAACAATGTGTTTTATTCATTCAAAGATTTTTACTCTCCCTCCACTAATCCTCAACTTGGTACAGTCCACAAGCTGCTCCGCACTGGCAAGGCTGCCACTGCTCCGATGCTCCCGGAGTTGGGAGCGAG